CATTCAAATCCAACAAACTGGGAGAGGAAAAAAGAAGTGTGGACGACTGTGGATGGCAAAGAGACTATTCTTTAACAGCAGAGGGGAAGGTAGGACACTCGCGGAGCTGGACGCAGAGATGAACCGAGGTGGCGAGCCTATGCACACGGGGAGTAGGGCGTCAAAGGAGCATGAGAAACGCCCATCCTCACGTCACCGAAGTAGGTCACCCTGAAAGAAAAGACAACAACGAGGTAACTCCCCTCGTTTGAGAGGTGAAGCCAGTGCGACACCGTGCCCGTTGAGTTTCTCAATTTTTGTTGGAAACAAACCAATGACGGAGGTGGATTCCATCATTCGCAACCCAAATGTAGCAGTCGAGTTCATTCGACAAATTTTTCTGCCAGAAGTTCAGTAGTCCATGATCGGCCGGGCTGATTATGAAGTTTTTCGGGAGGGCGTTCATGGAGCAGTAAAGGGTTTGTATACCTCCTATGAAATCGACATGTGCCTACTTGCCGCGCGAAGAGAGATAGAGCAAAGGGATGCTCACAATCAGAGCTTGCAAGCCCGTGCGGAGAGGGCTGAAAATGAGCTGAAGAAAGCTAACCTCTTTGAGACTCATTCGGCGAGTCAAGTGAATCCGATTGTCACAGATCGAGTAAATCGTCGAATTCTAGATCACGCGATTGCCGATCAAGATACGGCTAGTATGCTTGCAACAGAATCTACCAAGGCTAGGTCCTATGAGAAAGGCTTCCATGAGGGCCGTAAAGTTAGAATAGAAAAGACGAAGGAGAAACTAGCCAAGGAGGTCTGTCGATGCGAAAATCGCGGATTTAAACATGGATGGACCAAGGCTCTTCAAGCCGCGAGCATTGATCCGGCTTCACCCTTATATCAGAGTTATACTTTTCCCGTTCGAGGCTTTCGAAGCCTAAAAGACTGATGACGAGGGCGGAGCCGAATAATGCAGAGCCGAATAATTTTGATGTACATATATATATTTTTTAATGTAAAGCATGTACTTATGATTTGTTGAATAAAACATATTATTCTGAATGTCTCCAAGAGTTTAATTTCTTTATTGAAAATTAATATTAGTTTATTTGATATTTGTAGAAAGTAATCAATCTTCCTACGTCGATCGTAATATCCACGAAAGAAGCTCCGAATTCAGAGGCTTAATCGTGTTTGGTCCAAACGTAATTCACGATGGGCGCTCCAAATTTGGATGCTTAATCGGCCCAAACATCACAAAGGGCACTCCGGATTCGGGGGCTTAATCGGCCCAAACGTGTCGTGCACGAATGGGGCCCCAAATTCGAAGGCTTATTTGTATTGGCCCTGGCATGTCATTCACGAAGGGCACTCTGAATTTCGGAGGCTTAATCGGCCCAAACGTGTCATGCACAAAGGGCACTCCGCATTCAGAGGCTTATTTGTGATTGGCCCAAACGAGATTCACAAAGGGCACTCCGAATTCAGAGGCTTAATCGGCCCAAACGTGTCATGCATGAAGGGCACTCTGCATTCGGAGGCTTATTTGCGTTTGGCCCAAATGAGAATCGTGAAGAGCACTCTTAATTCAAAGGCTTAATCAGCCCAAACGTGTCATGCACGAAGGGCGCTCCAAATTCAGAGGCTTAATTGTATTGGCCCAACCGTGATTCACGAAGGGTGCTCTGAATTCGGAGGCTTAATCGGCCCAAGCGTGTCATGCATGAAGGGCGCTCCAAATTCAGAGGCTTAATTGGCCCAAACGTGTCATGCACGAAGGGTGCTTCATATTTGGAGGCTTATTTGAGTTTGGCCCAAACAAGATTCACGAAGGGCGCTCCGAATTCGGAGGCTTAATCGGCCCAAACATGTCATGCACGAAGGGCACTCCAAATTTGGAGGCTTAATTGTATTGGCCCAACCGTGATTCACGAAGAGCGCTCCGAATTCGGAGGCTTAATCAGCCCAAACGTGTCATGCACAAAGGGCACTTCAAATTTGGAGGCTTAATTGTATTGACCCAACCGTGATTCATGAAAGGCGCTCCGAATTCAGAGGCTTAATCGGCCCAAACGTGTCGTGCACGAAGGGCGCTCCAAATTCGGAGGCTTTTGGCACGACCAGAACTCACTAGGCAACATAACCAGAACTCAAGAGAAAACATTGTATTGAAAAAAGAAAGATATCCACAGCGTAAAATCAAAGCAAGCAGTCGTGTCGTGCAAGTTGACTTTAATGTTAAAACTTGCACAAGTGTATGGAATTCCACGGGCGTGGCAAGCTTCTTCCATCCATGTCTTTGAGCTGATATGCCCCTGTCCCTGCGATTGAGTCAATCTAATAGGGGCCATCCCAGTTAGGACCCAATTTTTCGTCAGCCGGATTCCTAGCAGCGGAAAGCAAGTTCTTGAGGACCAATTCTCCTGGTGTATAACGGCGTAGTTGAACATGTTGATTATACGACTTAGCAGGCTATTACTGGTACCGTGCCATGTATGCAAGGGTGCAGTCTCGGCGTTCTTCAATCAGAGTCAAGTCCAAGGCCAACATCATGTCATTTTGGCCCATGTCAAAAACCTTCGATTTCAAGGTTGGGAGGCCAATCTCTAGGGGGATGATTGCCTGGGTTCCGAAGCATAGAGCAAACGGCGTTTGCCCAGTGGATCGCCTCGGAGTAGTGCGATGAGCCCACAGCACACTGGGCAACTCTTCGACCCATCTGCCTTTAGCTTTCTCCAGCCTTTTCTTGATGTCGTCCAAAATAACCTTGTTGGTTGCCTTCGCTTGACCATTGCTTTAGGGGTAAGCCGGCGAGGAAAAGTAGGACCGAATATCATAAGTGTCGCACAATTCTCGTTACACACCACAATCAAACTGGGTACCATTGTCAGAAACAAGTGCTCGTGGTATGCCGAACCTTGTTATGATGTTTTTCCATACAAAACGCTTAACGTCAGAATCTCGAATATGTGTTAGTACCTCCGCTTCGACCCATTTTATGAAATAATCCGTCGCAACAATTAGGAATCGCTTGTTGCCTGGGGCCCGTAGTAACGGTCCAACGATATCGAGCCCTTATTGAGCGAACGGCCAAAGACTAGTGATAGAATTTAACTCCTCGGCTAGCAGATGAGTTAAAGGGAAAAACTTCTGGCACTGACCACATTTCTTGACATAACTCTCGGCATCAGTTCGCATGGTCGGCCAATAGTACCCCTGCGATACAGCGCAATGTGCCAGAAAACATCCGCCCAAATGGACACCACAACTGCCTTCATGTATTTCAGACAAAAGTTCCTCGATTTTATTCGAGTGAACACACTCTAAGTACGACCCGGAGAGAGATTTTTTATAGAGCTTCCCCTGTGGATCTAACTAGTATCAGAGGGCTTTGTTTCACAGATTGTGTGCTTCTTTCTTATCCATCGGGAGCTGCTCTGAAGGTAGGAATGCGGCGATAGGGTCTATCGAACTCGGACCCAGTTCAATAACATTGACCTAAACTGATTCTAAATAGGCAATGCTCAACTCGTGGATGAACCCTACTTCAATTGTCCGCTTAATTTCTGAGTTGATAGTAGAGGCTAAGCAAGCCAGGGCGTCTGCATGCGTGTTCTAATCCCAGGTTATCTGATTCAGTTTATGGTGATCAAATTTCACGAGTAAAGAATTCGCCGTTTTCATATAGGCTGCCATGCAGTCATTTTTGGCTACATATTTCCCCTTCAACTGGTTGATTACTAGCTTTGAGTCACAGAAGACAAGCAGACGTCGCACACCAAGATGAAGTGCATTTCGCAGGCCGGTCAATAATGCTTCGTATTCGGCCTCATTGTTTGATGCATCGAATCCCAATTTGACGGCCTATTCGATTATTGCCCCTTCGGGGGTCATGATTCCTACACCAGCCCCACTGCTACGCTGGTTAGATGACCCGTCGCAATACATCTGCCAAACGTCACCAACATACATTCTCCAGTTGGGCTCAATTTGCACTTGATCAGACTTAAAGTCGGCGAGTGATTCTGTGAACTCGGCTACAAAGTCGGCAAGCACTTGCCCTTTGATGGAAGTTCTGGGTAAAAACTCGATATCATACTGGCCGAGTTCAAGAGCTCATTTCGAGACATGCCCGACGCTTCCACGCTGCGGAGCGCTGATCGGAGGGGATATTGCGTTGGTACCCCAATGGTATGCCCATGAAAGTAGTGCATCAGCTTTCTTGCAACCATGACAAGAGCAAGGATAAGCTTTTCTAATGGAAGATAACGTGTTTCAGTGTCGGCCATAGCCTTGCTCACATAGTAAACTGGTCGTTGCTCCCCAAGTTCTTCTCTTATCAGTACGGCGCTGACCACCCGGTCAGATACTGCCAGATACAAGATAAGTGGATCGCCGGCCTCTGGTGTTTCCAAGAGTGGTACTGATTGGAGATAAGACTTCAGGCCGTCCAAAGCGGCCTAGCACTCGGGAGTCCAATCAAATGCGTTGCCTTGCCGAAGTGTGTGAAAGAATTGTCGGCAGCGATCTGTGGAATGGCTGATAAACCTGTTGAGCGCGGCGGCCATCCCCATTAGCTTCTGAACCTCTTTGACTGACTGAGGGGATCCAAGCTCTAGAATTGCAGTGATTTGCCTCGGATTGGCTTCGATTCTGCGGTGGTTAACGATATAGCCAAGGAATTTTCCAGATCCTATGCCGAATGCACACTTAGAAACGTTCAATTTCATCTTGTACTTTCGCAGGATGCCGAATGTTTCTGACAAATCAGCTAGATGGGAGTTCTTTTCCTTTGATTTGACCACCATATCGTCGATGTATACTTCCATGGTACGGCCGAGTTGTTCCTTGAACATGGAAGTCACTAGTCTTTGATAAGTTGCCCCTGCATTCTTCAGGCCAAAAGGCATGACCTTGTAGCAATAGGTTCCTTTTGAGGTGAGGAATACAGTTTTTTCTTGATCCTCCAGATGCATGGCAATTTGATGATAGCCTCTATAGGCATCTAAGAAGCTCAGGCGTTAATGATGTGCCATTGCATCTACCAATTTGTCTATTCTGAGCAGGGAAAAATAGTCCTTGGGACAAGCTTTGTGCAAATCCGTAGAATCCACACAGACACGCCAAGAGCCATTCTTCTTCTTAACGACCACAATATTGGACAACCATGTAGGATAAGTTACTTCACAAATCGCCCCGATGTCAAGTAACTGATCTACTTCTTCAATGACGGCCGAGCCATGCCCCACGGCTGACCGCCGGCTTCTCTGAATAATCAGCTTACATTTTGGATCGACGTTCAAGCGGTGTTGGGCCACTGATGGGTCTACTTCTGGCATCTCGTATTGGGACCATGCAACTACATCAATATTGCCGAGTAAGAAGGCTACCAACTCTTGCCTTTGGACTTTATCCAAGAAAGCGCCGATCATGAAGAACTTGTCAAGATTTCCGTCAATTTCGATCTGATGCAGGGCTTCGGTTGCTTTTTCACTTGGGATCCCAATAATGTCTTCGAGGCTCTCCCTATCCGGTACCTCAATTGAATGCACTTCCAGTTCTTTTGGTTTCTTTGTAGCTAGAAGATAGCATGCCTGTGTCGATTTCTGAGAGCCGCGAATTTGTTCAATACCGCATTCAGTCGAAAAACGAAGCAGTTGGTGGTAGGTGCTTGGCACGGCTTGCATTGTATGTAACCAAGTTCTGTCCATGATCAGATTATACAGTGAAGGGAGCTTGACAACCAAAAACTCTACGTTTACTGATCTGGTGCCGGCCTGCACTGGTAGTGTGATCTTGCCCAAAGGATACTCCGGGTTAGCATTGAAGCTGAATAACGGGTACTTAGCCGGGGACAGGTACGAATCGGTAAAACCAAGCTTGATAAAAGTTTTGTGATACATTATCTCCGAAGTGCTGCCCTGGTCAATGAGAACATGCTCGATGGTGAATATGTTTACACGTAGCTTGATGACGAGGGGATCAATGTGGGGGTGAGTCACTCTAACTAAATCACTATCTTCGAAGCTAATCCTTCCAGTGTCGTGTGGTCGCTTTGCTGGAGTCAAAGTGCTATGGGTGCTAGACAGCAACTGGATTGTGTGCACCTCGAGTGGCGCGGCAGGCTGTATATCGTATGAACTACACTAAGAGGAGGTGACTCCGGCCGTAGAGCTACTGTATTTGTTGAATTGTTCTTCCGGACGTATTGCGTAAGACGGCCGTCTTGCACCAACTCTTCAAGGTGATTTTTTAATGAATAACAACAGTGTCATGACCATGGTCTTTGTGATATTCACGCCGTTTATCCTATCTTCTTGCATCGGGAGGTCCCGTCATCTTGGGCGGCCACTTGAGGAACAGAAGATGTTGTACTTTTAATAGAATCTTATTGATCGACTCTGTTAGCTCTGTGTATTTCTTGCCTGAATACCTTGTGCACCTGCTATCCACTTGATACTGTTCATTAGCTCGATGTGAACATTGGTCGTTTGATTGGCGTGAGTCATGCCTTTTATCTCGTTTAGGTCAATTCGCCGCTCGGGGCTTCTTGACAGCACGACGCTAATCGGCTAAACAATTCCCGATGTGGCCGTCTCAACGGCTTTACGGCCGGCTTTGACTCGAAGGGCATCGTCTTCTACTTTGTAGTATTCTTTGACTTTCGTCATTAATGCCCAAACGGTTTTGAAGGGACGTCTGGTTAACAAACTGTGGAGGGGGCTATCAGGATACAATCCCATCTTAAAGGTGGTGATGTCCATGGAATCATTGCAAGCATCATCTACTAGATTAAAGCACTCCCAATAGCGGGCCGAGTATTCACGAAGAGTTTCTTCCGGTTTAATTTGCATGGCCTAGAGAGAATCGGCTTGCTTCAGTTGGACCTCATTAGTGATGAATCTCACCCTGAATGACTTTTGGAGTTAGTGGAAGTTCTTAATCGATGCCGGCTCCAATTTTTAGTACCACCTCACGGCTAGTGGTCCCAGACTACTTTGGAAATATCTAACACATGAGGGCTTCGTCGTTAGCATGGAGCGTCATCGCTTGCTTGTAATGATGAATGTGATTAGTGGGGTCTGATTTTTTGTCATAGCTCAAGCTCTTGTTTTTACACTCTCTTCTTTGCCTTTTAAACTGATTTTCAAAGCATGGAAAAGGCTAAAAAAAAAAGGTTGAGGTCTCAAAAATGGAGAGGTTAGCCACCTCTCCTTGCTTTTTGTTCAATAGCTTTGCTTTGCCTTATTCTTGCCTACCTTTTTATGCTCTCTAACATGATTTTTGGTCATTGTTTGTAGCATATTAGGGGTTGTTTCAGGGTTGTTGTAATTTATTTAATTAGTATATACTTGAATATCTAGCTTGTTGCATTGTAAGTCTTCACATCTTGCTTGTTATGTTGTGTTATACATGCTTGTAGACTCGACTTTCTTCGCGCCCCCTTTCAGAGAGCTCGAATTGGTCCTATGGTTTGGACTCCTGTCACGGTTCTAAATCTAGTCTCACAAAGTGCAATGTGAGATTGATAAATACCAAAGAGTCCAATCCGGCAAATCATTTTGGAAAATCGATTTTGAATCAAATAATGCCAAAACTAGACTGCTTTGCCAAACTACAGAGTCGCCACCTAAATATTTTGTTTTTAGAAAATTTAGGAACCTCTAACTCGTGCCAAAGGCCACGTATCCGTCATCACCAAAGTTGTCTCGGCTCGGGAACTTGGATACGAGAGGGGAAGGTCCTGAAATGAGCACCCCCGCTTGCCTGATCAAAGTATCGACCTCTACTAAGCATGATATGTTATTTTATAAACCTCATGTGTTCTTATCCAGTTATTAGCTGACTTTACTATGTGACGCACACATACAAGTATAGACTACGTCGCAAGAATTGGAACAAATCAACTCATGTTTGCTTTCGAAAATGGTTTGGATTTGCCACCCCAAATGGGCTAAATCGCAGATTTGCCACCTCAAGTGGGTTTAAAACATGATTTGCCACTTCACAAAGTGGGCTTAAAACTTACATTCGTTGAATTGTTCCAATTCAAACAATCAAGCCTTCATCCACAGGCATTTATGCAGTTAATCATTTAAGCACATAGCCTCATGGTAAGCATGCTATCATGGAAACACTCACACTCATGCAAGTATGCTAAAGCGTAAAACTTACCGAGTACTCCAAGCCAAAACAAAAGCTAGTTAGAAAAATGCATGATCTAACTATGTTAAATGCCTAATGCAACATATGCAATATGAAATTAATAGGCTCGGCTACTAATATGGCATTTGATACAATTTAATAACATGTTTTGAAACACGTATTCAAATAAGTATTGAATTACAATGCAGTTTGAATGATGCGCCGAGCCTCAGTGCATGCAAGACAAATGAATGATGCAAACATACAAGCATAAGGTATGCTAATTGAAACATGTCCCTAATCTAACCATCGAAAGCGGATAAATAAAAGGGAGAAAGACGTGGGGTTGGAAGACATACACACATGCACGCACGCTTATTACAACATTATGCCCTCGTAAAGGAGGGTCCGAATAAATAAGCTAAGCTACACTAAGCTAAGCTAATTACTACAAAACGAAACTAATTAACCATTCTAGTTAACTAATTGTTACAACACAATTAAATAACTAACTACAACAAGCTAATAAAGCAATTAAACGGCCTAGAGGGACGAGGGATGCATGTATGTATGCTTGGTTGCTCCACCCGAAAATGCCCTTGCCTTGCCATCGGATGCCTCTGTTTGCACTCATTTGATTACTGAAAATTGTGCCAACTTCCAGATTGCCTCCGCTCCAACACAAGAATACATTTGCATAAAAATTCTCTGGTGGTCGGTCGGCTACAAAAGGTGGCTATCGGCCACAACAACTGGCCGGTCGGCTAGCTCAAGTGGCCGGTCAGCTACTTTAAGTGGCCGGTCGGCCACCCCCATTTCTGGACTTCTGCTTTTGCTGCAACAGAAAGCAACAGAGGCAAAACAAAGCATTTTCAAGGAATATATGTACTGCTACACTCCTTATCATTTCTCAAGCTCAAGGGAATGTAGCTTATGGCTCTCAAGCCACCAACCAAGCATTGTCATGCATGATGGCCAAAGAACCAAGCTTGCACAAGCTTAATGAATGCACAAATAAGACTCGAAGGACCACCACCCTATCACGCATGATCAAGGGTGTCGGTGACTAAGAAAAGTGGCACGTTTCATCACTTTGAGTATGAAACGTCCCATTTTTCTAGTGTTTGGATTAACATCTGATCCATACACATGCAATGCAACACAAATATGCTTATCTTGCTCAAGTTTTACTTGTCATGTTTTATTTACTCATTTTACATTACCGATTAGTCCTTTAATCGATTAAGTCCAAAGTGATTGGAGTCCTCTAATGGAAAGAGGGCTTGAACCTTAAGTACCTTGAGCATGAAAGAGGCCTCATGCTGTTGGTTAGGAGAAACCCTCAAGAGAGGATTAAAACCATTAGGCATGAGAGCCTCAATTCCACACTCAAGCCAACAAGGGGCTCAAGGCCACTTTTAAAACAAAGTGAAAAGTGAAGAATAGAGGGAGATTGTAGACATTTCAGTGCTGATATGGCATGCAAAAAGACACTAAATCATGCAAGCAACACATGCAAGTCATGCTAAGAGCCTAAAACATTAAGCTAGTGAAGACCATTACACTATAGCCATGCAATACAAGCCTTAAAGGATTTAACCAACTCAAAACAGAGCTAAAACATGCCAAAATAGTAGCTAAAACAAGCTAAAGTTAAGCTAAATAGGCTAAACCATTAGACATGCTAGGCTAGTAAGCATAATTGCACTACAAGTACAAAAACCAAGCAACAAATGCTCCAACCAACCTAAAATAAAGTTGAAACATGCCAAAATAGAGCCTAAAACATGCTTGAATAAAGCTAAGTTAAGCTATAAAATTAAGCTAACATGTAAAGCAACCTAGGCATGGAAGCAAGACACAAGGAGGGGTGGCTAACCCCTCCTATTTTGGACTTCAAAACATGTTTTCCACCACTGAAATAACTCTAATTTTCTATGGTTAAAAGGCCCAAAAATTTTGATTTAAAGGTAATGAAAGATGGCACAAAAAGCTATACAAGCTAAGGAACAAAAAGGAAAGACAACTCCCTAACTCAAAAAGACCTTAAACCACCATTTTTATGACTGAAAAACAGAGGTTTTTGTAGTTGAAAACCAGGCCAAAAATAGTACAAAAAGGTAGCAAAGCAAGTATGGAAATTAAGCTAGCAAAGAGAAGTTTCTACCTCTTGAAGGGAAGATACAACTTAAACAAAAATCTGAGCTTAAACCACCTTCTAGAGCTCAAAGGAAGGCATGCAAGACAAATGAATGATGCAAACATACAAGCATAAGGTATGCTAATTGAAACATGTCCCTAATCTAACCATCGAAAGCGGATAAATAAAAGGGAGAAAGACGTGGGGTTGGAAGACATACACACATGCACGCACGCTTATTACAACATTATGCCCTCGTAAAGGAGGGTCCGAATAAATAAGCTAAGCTACACTAAGCTAAGCTAATTACTACAAAACGAAACTAATTAACCATTCTAGTTAACTAATTGTTACAACACAATTAAATAACTAACTACAACAAGCTAATAAAGCAATTAAACGGCCTAGAGGGACGAGGGATGCATGTATGTATGCTTGGTTGCTCCACCCGAAAATGCCCTTGCCTTGCCATCGGATGCCTCTGTTTGCACTCATTTGATTACTGAAAATTGTGCCAACTTCCAGATTGCCTCCGCTCCAACACAAGAATACATTTGCATAAAAATTCTCTGGTGGTCGGTCGGCTACAAAAGGTGGCTATCGGCCACAACAACTGGC